TTTTGACTCATTAAGGGCAGAACCTTATCTATTATAACAATGTAGTTAAAATATATCCAGAAAAAAATTTCCTAACTCCAAATTTGGCTTCACAACATGTTTCCATGTTTTGTGAGTGGATTATCTTTTGTAGGAACTAATTAGATTATAAAACTCTCAGAGCATAGCGCAACTGGAACAAAGTCCATATTGTAGATTTCAAGAGAGCAACAGTAAGGGTGCATTTTCAATAAGAATGAGACAGATCAATTGACTAAAAGCTCCAATTGCTCTGATTATAAAGATTGTTAGATGAATACAGCAATATATTATTTCATCATACCAAATGCTGCTCATATCACATGTAATAGAACTTGCAAATCAAGACAAAGTACACGTAATTCATATTCATGTTATGAATGCTGAGGGCAAGAAGTTAGCTTGAGGTGGTAAATCTATGCAAGGAAAACTTTCGTTGGTATATGAGTTGGTGAAGAGGGATGAATGTTTGTTGGAATGCTGGTGTTGATAAATGCGACTGGTACTGCAAATGTGGGAGAGATATTGCATCGCGAATTCATGTCTACTTGTTGAGATAGAATAGTTTGAGGAGTGAGGTATGCCTCCGTGATGAGTGGAGCCATTGCTCGATCGCTAGCTTTTTCAGCGGTATTGTAGAAATGCCTGGAAGAAAAGTTGATAAGAAAATTTATCAAATGACAGCGTTTTCTAACCTTGATTCGATATCCTTTTGCTTTTGGCCACATTCATTTATTCCAAAAAGCTCGGCCACTGGTGGAGATTCAACAATGCTGTGAGCGATTGACAGCAACGAAGGTATGATGAGTAAAAGGCAGGAAACTCTAAAACATGCTGGAATTGGCGTAAAGAGAGACGGTCATAGTGATAAAGTCTAAACATATCCTAATAAGTACTGAAAAATAAGTAGTCTGAGCAGGATGTTTTTTGAAGAAGCAAAAAAACGAAAAAACTACACTTAGTAGCGCATTTTAGCCTTCAAGTAAACTCAAAAAAAACTGAATTCTTACTGGATTTTTTCCTTTGATATCTTTAGTTGCCAACAATCTCCTCTTACAATATGGTACATATGCCATATGTACATGGGATAAATTTTCATTTAAGACAGAAAAGCTCAAAATGATTTCATTAGTGGTTCAGTTCAGCA